TAAGTGATGAAGTCAAAAATAAAAATAAATTGTTCGAACTGAGAGAAGTGCTCGAGGAAGCAGCTCTTCCTAAACTTAGTAGAGTACACATTAGTGACGATGTTGATGAATGTCTGACACACGCAAAGCAAGTCGTCATTCTAGATGTTATCACAAGAAGAGGTCCTAGTTTTTCAGACATCAGGATACAAGATGAGTGGGAACCAAGAAGTGAGTGGTTGATACGACGTTTTTTATATTTTGACAAACTTGGACAAAAAATGAAAGAAAAGTGTCCGAAATCTGTCAGAGTCCTATTAGCCGGAAACATAGAAGCAGACACAGTTCTCATGGAAATGACCACGCCTATATGTTTTGACGCGACAACACTTCACAGAAGAACGAAAGGAAAGATACCGCCAGAACAAATAGTTGGTCTAGTAAAGCCACTTGAATTGAAAGTAAAAGCTGCTGTGGCTAGACACCTGAAAGTCCACACATATGATGTCACTGATGTCGTAATTTGGGGGAACTTGGGGAGTTCAGTATTTTTAGATTTATCTCGTTCTTGTGTATCTTGCAGAAGACACTTTGATGCGGGTGTCGTCGGCGGAAGCCACATTCGGCTTCCAGCCTTGAGTGTAGCTGAGAACCCACAGTGGTTACACAAAGAACTACTGAATGAACTAAAGAAAGAAAACAGCACTAGAAAATCTGAGTATATAGGACTACTCTACGAAAATGCTATGGCTGAGTGCTTAAAAGAATGCTGGAACAGTAACCAAAGCCAACCTAACCAAACTACTTCACTTGTTATGATATCAAGAGGTAAATAAAAAACCATCTTTTTGACTTTTAATAACTAGCTCCTTCTCAACTTTAATTGGTCTATCATTTAATGACCATAACATTCGGATATTAGTTAAACTGAATTATACATAAAGACAAGGAAATATGAATATTAAGAATCAACCGATTATCTCATTCTCTTAGTAAGCTGTCCAACAAACTCCATGTTTGGGAACGAAAGCTTGAAATATTTCACTGTATGTATCACACCATATAGGCAAGCAAACTAGATTCAAATTACTAGTCACTACATATAGACAGACAGAAAACCATTTGATTACTTATTCTTGTATATCTATGAGTGACCTTTAAAAACTGGAAACGTAATCATATGCGAGACTGTATAGTATTTTTGATACAAAACCTGTTGGGTGATATCAAAAACTGATACATCAATGTGACTGTTTGGTTTTATTTTCGTGGTATCATTGTTTGCGGGATTGCAGCGACCCCGAATAGGTGGTCCCGGACAAAATTTCATGACGACTATAATAGCAGTGATAGCCTAACAACTTATGATAATGACGTGATATTTAACTATCCATCAGAAGATAAACATACTCTAAAGCAGTTTGAACCGTACAACTGGGACACTAAGTAGGAAAAATATGTGCATGCTAAAGGTGTCCTTCCATAGATATCTTTGACCAGACATTCGATGAAACAGAATTAAGTCGCTAAAACCTTATGGTGGAGAGATCAAAGCATCGGTCCACGAAGCCCTTGGGTCTTAGTTTAGGTTATACAAGAAAGGCTAAAACTTTCTGGATAGGGTTTTCAAAACGAGGAATTAGTAGCTGATACGGTTACGGACATAGTGCCACAAACATTCTTTATTGTCAATACGTCATCACTGTTCATTAATCTATTCTGGTTTATTCAGTTATGATATTTGAGTATAACAGTTTGAAACGACATGACTTTGTGGAATTTTACACTATTTGTCAGCGTTCTTTCAGGGCTACACAAACTAGGGACAGTAAGGTACTTCATGCACCAAATTGATAAATCTTTTAAAGGAATGGTCGATTAGATTTCCTAGCCTCTTTTAATAACCCCAGGAAAAAATCTACACGGCAACCTGAACACGAGGAAAGGTGCGAAGATTGGTGGTAAGAAATTATTTAACTCCCGAAATAAATCTAAATGACTTAAGAATACATCACATTTTATATGGCTTATTTGAAGCTATATTAACAGTTGAACAATCGAACTAAGCTGTATTGAGCAATAGTAATTTAATAAGTTACTGTGTGAGCATATATTTAAAATATTATACAATTAATCATCTATGATACTTCTTAAGATGTGAATACATGTCACACAATATTAGAAAAAACTAATTTCATGTCATTCACATTCTAACTTATTAAGTTATTACTCGTCATATCACAAATAACTTTAGGCATGAGGATAAATTACCAGGTGCAGTTAATTTCTACTGATGAAAAATGGTATCAGACTACGGATGCCCTACACTAAGTATGTTAAATATGCAGCAAATTACTGTTATATTAGGCTATTATGGATAGTGAGGTGATGGAGGATATTTGTTGCTCAGATGAATGATATTGACGGTTTTGGATTCTCTGATTAGGATGGTTTGATTGTGAAGCTTCGTGTCTACAAGGAGAAGTGAGCACTCTAAAATTATTTCAAAAGCGTTAAAACGACCATTATGACTCTTTGTGAAAATACTTATATACAATTTATACTGATGGATTCTAATTAATAATCGCCGTTGAAATTTTATCAAGATTACATACTCGTTAAAGTAATGAGAACAAGAGTACCATTAAAATTGAAATCAGATAACTAATAACCCAAAAATCAGATAGGCGACAATGCAATCCACAGAACCTTTGCAGTCAATCAGATGTATGATTTCACGGTTAATCAAAGTATAAAGGCAGACAACAAAACTAGGATGATTTATTTAATCGTCATTATCTAGTATCATACACAGTATGTACAAATACAGACTTGTTTCGCAAATCCATCACGTGTTAGTAAACTAAAAACTTAGGGCGAAGCGTTGATTTATATGTACAAGTAAAAGGGAAAAGACTCTAAATGTAGATAAGGAAATAAAAATGGCATGATATAGAGAAAATCCAGTCTGTAAAAGCTTTAGTGTACTAAACCTCAAAAATGATCAATATAACATGATCGAAGCAATTTTCAGAACGTCCATATCTCAAAAATAAAATCCAGATATAACAGAAAGATGCTGTTCAATTACCGTAATGCTAATTGTTAAACAGTATATAAAGATCCTCTAGCTATGCCTAGGAAGTTTCAAACTACACTGAACAGCCCGTTTTGACGTAGATATTACAACTCATTTCTTACGCATTTATAGAGCTGTGTCCATTAAATAGCTGTTTGCTCGCTTTCAGGCTGGTATGGCGTACCGGAAGGGATTGCATTTTCGTTCCCTGTTATGTGCGGCTCCTACGGATATTGGTGGGTTGTGGAAGATATGCCTCTTACGCCAGAAGTTGAAACTCAGTTGAAAACATCCATTCGAGTAAGTATTAGCGTTATCACAGGAATAATTTTCCCTTTAACCTTCCAAATTAGCAATGAAACATAGGATGTGAATACACTTTATCAGTACATATTCAGGATTATTCTTCCTCAGTTTACCATTAAAATTAAATTCACACACGTATGATCGGAAACATTTGGACCATTTCCCATTAGAATTTAGTTAATTTTCAAATTCAGATATGAACAAAGTAAAACTACATTTAAGCTTTGAATTACTTTAAACTTCTTGATAATGAATATGTGATCACTTCTGAATAAAGAAATCTCGGTTAAAATGAATTTAATTAAATGTGAAACTTACCATGAGATTTATTTGGCAACAATTGGGAAAAGGTACTTAATGTTTAATTAGAAATGTAAATCTTCTCTTTAATTTGTCTTAAATTCAAATAAATTGTATCCAATCGGAGTTAAGGTCCACAAATAGACAAAATGACTATCTGATAAATATTTTTCCACCCAGCATACTTTGTATATTTACAAACCTTCATTATGGTTTATCCGCTTTCGATAATTTAATTAACCAAATAATTTGTACGAGATATTAACGAAATTCATTTTTTTGTAAAAGTGAAGTTTGGCTACAACAGATAAGGGATCAAATATTTGGGAGTTTTAGATTTTATTTTATACCATCTGCAATAAGCTACATTAGAACTAACAAGGATCCTACAGTCTAACAGAATGAACCAAACAGAAATAGTCGTGTTAAAAATATATAATTACCTAGGGAGTTCATTTTCTAATTCCAAGCTTAGTAGAAAAAGGTAAAGTACCAGTTTTGTATTCATCTGTATTAAAAACAGATTATTTTGATGTACAGTGTTGATTAGTTTAGTATTCCATTATTTATTCCTTATTGTATTTCTCCAAGTTATTCTAGAGTCATTCATCAGTCAGATATTTTTCCTAGTGGTGACCCTTCTTAGAACGTTGGACAACAATGTCACGTTTCGTGTTGTCTTAAGATTTTCGGTTAAGTTTTGAGTTAGTTGTTTGTCGCTACCAGTAAAATGAAATCTTATTTCAATATACAAAAATTGTTTTACTTTAGAGTGTCCTCGAAGATTGGGCAGTTGTTGATCCCTTACCATTGGAAGACTTTTTAAAAAAAGGTAACTTTGTTCCACTGTAAATATTGTATTAAATTTTATAGAACAAAAACCCAAATATACCTATAATGAATATCAGGCTGAAAATAATGAAGAGAATTAAAAAGCAACTGGATAAAGACAACAAAACATTGCATTTTGCGAAATAATTAGAACAAAGAAATATTCGCCATACACAAAAAAAGATTAACTTGGTAAATAAAAAATAAGAACTGTTATAAAGAGACAATAAACTACAATAAATAGAACATGTTTAGAAGAGGCTTAATATCCTTGTTATAAAGAAGTTGAGTTGACTTTATATTTCAAACAAATGTATTCATGAAAAAGTAATTAAATAATGATAGAAAAAAGCACTTGTTTAAACAAATTACGTGGTCTTGATTCACATTTGTTAAAAACATATTATTAGAACATTTCGCACGGAGAAAAAAGCTAATCGATTAGTATATTTAAGCCTAAAGAAGGTATTACTAGTTGGTTCTAGGTGCCAAACAAGATTAAGCTTCACTGAACTTTGCGACTGATTTTTTTGGATTTATCAGCTATTGGTCTTGGTTTATTATCAGCTGCTATGTGTCGTTGGTATAAGCTAGTTAAGATATATACATATACATAAATGTAATTGATTTGATGTTGATAATAGTTATATTTAACTGATAATTTTATCAAAGAATTAATGAAATACGAATCTTACCTGTAAGCTATAACACATACAAAGTTTAAATTTTTTTAAGATTGACTGTATACGTCTCTCACAAGTAGTGACAAACATGGTCTATTGAAATGAGCACTTTTTGTAGGTGAAGACTATCTTATTAGAGTCTGTGCGATTATCATAACGAATCGTCGAAGACAATGGGTATTATCCCTTATAATTGGTCGCAATGACCCAGATGCACTTGGCTTCCTTTCTTCTAGATTGCGTGTTCAAAAATTATCTTATATTTTTATATGTCTAAATTAATCTTCTCGAGCCATATTATCTATATTTTTTAATACCACTAATTCTGTCAACACTTTACTACTGTGAAATTTGTCCTGAGAATTTTACCTATTAATGTTGATGGGGTGTGGTAATGGGAGCCAATGTACACATGTGCCAGATTCCAACTTGCTTACGATTGATTGATTAGACAAACATTAACAGTGGGTTGAGGGCTTCTTGTTGACTAGACGTGGGTATCCAACACAAAACATCAAACAGATTCTCACATAATTTTCAGACTTTAAATTACTACAATGGTTTATCTGCTTTCATTAATCCAATATTTATTGTTTTCAAATGATCTATATTATAAGCAGTTGTGACACATAAAAAGTCGGTGTCGCCTTTCGGTCTTGGTATTATACATACTGAAGACACCGAAGTGAAATACAAATACGTCATACAGAAACAGCAAATATCTCATGAAAATGAGAGTCTAATGTTTAAAGAAACTTAAACTGTTTTTAGACAGAATGATTTTATTAAGAGTTAAGAAATATCATGTCGATAATGAAGACTATGATGTACATTACTAACACCTGTTACTCCTCATGAAGCATAGGTCGCCAATCAGGATTCTACAACCAACTCTGTCTTGGGCTCTCCTTTCTAGCTGTTTTCAAGTGTTATTCAATCTTTTGATGTCTGCCTCTTATTCACAATGCACTGCGTTCTTTGATCTACCTCCTTATCTTTTCCCTTTAGGATATCAAGTTAGCGCTCACCTCGTGATGCAGTTTGATTATTTGCACAATGTCCTACCCACCTACAGCGTCTTTTCCTAACTTCTTCTTGAGCTGGAAGTTGGTTTGTTCTCTCACAATAGGTTTTTGATGTTATCCGGTAGACGGATATTGAGTATCTTGAGTAGACAACTGTTTATAAATACCTGTACATTTTTGACTATGATTGTAGTTGTTCTCCACGTTTCAGCTCCGTACAAAAGAACCGTCTTGAAGTTCGCATTGAAATTTCTAACTCTGATATTTACTAAGAGTTGTTTTGATTTACATGTCTTGCAATTAAAGGAATCTTGTCCTTGCTTTACCAAACCATCCATTCACATCTGCATCAGATCCTCCTTGTTTATCGATGATGCTACCCAGGCACATAAAAATTTCTACCTATTCCAGTCAGTCAGTTAACCAGTCACAAAGTAGAACGCAGTACGTATGTAAATCGGTTCAAGTTACCAAGCCCAATTAAAACAGGGAGATGAAAATGTCAGGCAGAATCCCAGAACAGTAGAGCAAGTGACCGTATCATTGATAACAGGAAAGATTAGGTATCGAAAATAAGATTCAAGAAAATTCAAAGAGGAGAAATAAAACAAAAGCTGGGAAATTCAGAATTTGAGGGAAGACAAAGAATAGATGCAGTTGAGTCATTGCAAACGATTTTGAGACTTGTCGTCCAAAGTCTATAACCATTGGTTATGATAATTAACCGGGTCCTAACAAGGTCGTCTACATCTGTTAACATTATTTAGTCCGACTGTCATTGACTTTATGGACTGATATGACGTTTTGATTTGACCACCCCTAACTTTAATCCAGCCTAGTCCTACGCCAGAAAACATTCCCCGTCGAGTTGGGTTATGGTTGGGCATATTTAACACATGTCCAAACCACCACAGTTGATTAAAATTTACCACCTCATCAATCAATTTCTCATCTTTACCTAGTACTCTACTCCTAACCCTGACATCGTTTACTCCATGGTCTCAAAGTATACGAGCAACGCCTCGTAGATACCTGTGGTCGAATACCAGTGACCTACGATTATCCTCTATTCTAAATGGTTTTCAAATTAATAAAGTAAAACGGAACGAAATTCTATGCAGTACACTCCCCACTTTGGTTGGCAGACGTATCTCTCTCCCAAGCCACAAGTGAAGCAAGTTGACAAAAGCTAATAGCGCCTTCTGAACCGGTCCAGAGATTTCATCAGACAACAGACCATCACTACTCATGAGACTCCCAGAATAAGTGGAGTGGTTGATGCGTTCGACTACTTCATTCTCTATCATTAATTCAGGTGATAACGTAAACAAATCGTGAAGTAATATTTTACACTAGGAGGGAGTGAACCACATCCCGAACATCCTTGCATTATTGCTTGAGGTGGTCAGAAGAATCTGCATTTTGTCAGCTTCTTCACCAAACAAAACTATTTCATCTGCGTACTCCAAGTCAATGAGTGTATCTCCTGGGAGATCAATTCCTGAAAAGTCAAACGGTGAGTGTTATCTCTAAAAGTATATCTATGACAAAGTCAAATAAAGATGGGAAAAGCGAACAACCTTGACAAACACCACATGAAGTAACCGGTGCTGTGACTAAGCACGTAAAAGTTTCACCTCTTTCAGAGTTTCTATATCAAGTGTGATTGGATTGGTGTTCTCCGTGTTGGATTTTGGTATCTTGCTTTTTCCCTTGTGCATGTTGAGGCCTACTGCTGTAGATGCTACTGCTGCACTGGTTGTCTTGACCCGTCGGTCAGCTACAATATAGGACCAGGCACATATATACATTGGTCCAAGTTGCCATACCTCATTAGCACAACAAGATGAACACCAAATTCATAGAAGTAGCTACATTAATCGTAGTAATATATAGAAAAAAGATTGCATATAAGGATATAATACAGGGAGAAAGAATTAGTTCAATGTTCCATTCAGGCTGTTTGGGAATGGTGGGTAGTTGTAGAGTAACTGAAAGCCAGCTGAACCGCTCCTTAGTGTTCCGCCCATCGTTTCAAAGGTCTAGACTGAGAGAAGAGACATAAGGTGCGTACGTTGAGGGCTCCAACGTGTAGTTTGGAGCGACATTTTAGTAGACTTGGGACAGTATTTCGCGCACTAGAATTGTTGGTCATGGTGACACTTGAGGAGGAAGTCAAAAGAGGAAGTGTAGAGTTGGAAGTCGAGTTAGGAGGAATAATAGGGATTGAGTCAGTCAGTCAGTCAGCTACAACGTAGGACCAGGCACATTTATGCATCGGACCAAGTTGCCATACCTCATTAACACAACAAGATGGACACCGGATTCATAAAAGTAGTTAATGCAGAGGTGGTAATATATAAAAGAAAGAGGAAGATTGATTATGAATACAGTGATCTTGAGAGCTCCTAAAGATATGAGGGCGATTTTCACTTCTCGGTTACCCACACCATAGAACGGTTCTTCTAGAGGTACCACAAAGGAAATTCGGTTAGAGGTGGTCTTAGTGACCTGAGAGCGTGACTGCAGTACCCAAGGGACAACTGCTTGAGGCCGGCCACACAGCCTTTTTGTGAGTAATTTTCGTGTTAGCTCCGTACTTGGTGGGACCTTATCGCCGCAAATCGAAATCCGTGAGATAAGGTAAGGTGTGCATTTTTAGAGCCGACCTTTTCCAACCCCACTCTTCCTTGTGGGAAGGCAGCATCGCTGTTATGCTGTCTGTCTGAAGGAAACACCTAACTGCCTTCATACCTATGTATAGACAGCAGTACAACTTCGCCCTCGAACCTTTGGTTTGGTGCTCTTAGTCTTACTGCTCTTCAACCGACCTGTCTGGCATGGTAGGACCTTGAGGAGTGATTGTTCCAGCCAGTATAGCTCGATTGGTTCTTTATGATAGGCAAGCCTGACCACCACGTCAGGGTAGCAGCTACGGTAGGGCCGTTTTGACCTGCATATGTTTGTGTGTATGGGATAGAAGAACTAAGACATCTGTCAAGTCCAACTAGCCCAGTTGCATCCAAAATGTCCATTGTATCCCGTGCTTACCCTCAGACGTCGAGGTCTTCATAATCCAGTCAACCACTGCAAGAAAGAGAAAGGGGAAGTAAGCAGCCTTGTCTGACTCCGGTCCTTACATGAAATGCAACCGTCCTCCATGCACCCTTTGCAGCGTAGCCCGTCGTGTGAATTCCGGATGATGTTGATGATTTTCTCAGGTACACCATAGTGTCGAAGAAATTCCCATAAAGTTGTCTTGTCCACACTGTCAAATGCTTTCTCATAGTCAAAGAAGTTTATGTATAGTGATGAGTTCCATCCAATTGATTTCCTAACGATCATCTGTAGTGTCGCAATTTGGTCTGTGCACGACAGATCCTTACGGGATTCGGACTGTTAATCTCGAAGCTGGGCATCTACTGAGTCTTTTATTCGGTTTAACAACACTCTGATGAAAACCTTTCTTGGTACTGATAGTAGTGTGAGAACTATTTTAACAAGTTAGTATTAAACGATTCTTTTACCGACTGTCTAAAATAAAAATTCTAAAAAATAACTCGTATATAGATTGATGTGTAACTCATATGGTGGCCAGTGTGTACTAAAGTACAGAGTAGAATATGGAAACTAGCTGGTCCATCAATGTACACTCATTATATGGTAACATGAAAACTTTTGATTAAAGTTTTCCATTAATTGTACATATAAACAGAAACGTTATGTATGTAACCAGTCTGTGGATATTATTCTTAGAAACGTACTACTCCGAGGTAAAATCTTACTGAGGTTAATTCTAAGCTTGTTTTTGAGTGCGTGTGGATGACTGAGTAATTCTACAGTTAAAGTTAAAAATGTAAACCGTAGAATGCTGGCTTAGTGGTATAGAGGTTAGGCGTTCGAGCTAGACTCGAGGTCCTGGGTTCAATCCCTGGTAGCAGGACTATGAATGTGCAATCCTGACGAATCCCATACTAGGATTAAACAGCTGTCCAGTGCCTTCCCGTTCACAGTGTTTTTTTAAATAAAATCTTTCTGTGATATTAACTGTAAAATTGAAGAATCTCCAAAAACCCCAACAGAAATTCTACAATAGTTGTAAAGATTATCGCAATCCACTAACTTGTCCCATCTCATGACTTATGTGTTAAATGTATTTTAATACTTTACTGACGCATTAAAATCTAGTGATAAAACACGTAGATATAACCGTTGAACAATTGTATGATTTGGATACTAGATGGTTGAAGGTAACAGGTAGAGAATGAGATTATGGAGTATGTTTTGGTAAACAAAAGTGGCTGAGTACTAGAAATCCTAAAAATAGCAGATATGTAATTAATGACAAACTATACGTTACTTAAATATATACGAATATTAGTCAATATTAGAAAAGTTTGATGAAAATTGGGTGCCGAGTATAGAGAAGTCATTATATGTGAAAATTATATTTGAAATAATCTCAGCAATTGAAATTTAAATAATCCCGTTTCTTCCAGACAAGCTCGTTCGACGAAACGTTAGGATTATTTAAATTTCAATTGCTGAGATTATTTCAAATATAATTTTCACATATAATTACTTAAATCTGTGTATATTTGTGTATAGATCAGCCCCCAGAAAAAATAACAAAGTTAGGATTGTTCTTGTTTTTCTTTTAAAGCCATTTTTAGTATAATTGTACAATAAGTTAGTGTGACTTGTCAAAAAAATTTACAGAAAGAAAATTTTTACAAACACAATAAACACAAAAGTGATGGACAGTTCGCAGTACAAATATATCTCAATATTTTGAAACTTACAATTTGTATGTCTCTGACCGAATATAATCAAAGACGTGAGAGAGACCAACTTGTAACTGATCCTCTATTGGTGAAACCCAATCATTGCCTGATAGTTTAGCTACCTGTTTAGGCCCACAGAGATCAAGTATACCTTGGAAATAGAAAACAGTAAATCACTTTGCATCAATAAATAAACAATAACAAAAGCACTAGAGTCGAAAAACAATATACATATGTGGTATTTTACTTACATAATGACACACCTTAACTAATGTGTACAGGATGAACTATTCGTAACTTAGCATGTTTACAAACTTGGTTTTGAGCTACACTATTTGTGTGAGGATAGTAACACTAAATGGCTGCTCAAGCCAGAGGGAGGGGAGTGTTTGAAACTGGAACTTATGTAATCAATGTCTAGTGCTGTAACCATTAGGATTGTTTTAGGGATAAAAAGAAGTAGGGTGGTGGTGCTTTGACGGCTGTAAATATTTTCTGTGTCAACCTGAGTGTTTTAGAATTTTGAATGATTTTATCAACTTTCCAACGTAAAAATTCCATTCTAAAATATAGTTACATTTATGTTACCAGAGTGAGCTCGAATCCTGACTACACTTCATCTTTACTATCGCTTTCAGCAGACGAGTTTACTTAATTTCCTGTTACTGCCTTCAGCGGTTAACCTTTAGTCGCATATAGTGATTTCTATTTATGAGATGGTAGCTTACATACCATGGTAACCAAAATGTAGGTTATTCCCCTACTCGTCCCATTGTGCCTCTAAATCTCCTTTTTATCAATGATGCGGTAACATAAGAGTCAGTCAGCTACAACGTAGGACCAGGCACATATGTGCATCGGTCCAGGTTGCCATACCGCATCAGCACAACAAGATGAACACCGGATTCATAGCAGTGGTTAGGTCAAAGGTAGTAATATGTAAGAGAAAGATTACATATAGAGATATAGTACAAGAAGAAAGAATTGGTTCGTAGAAAGAAAGATATGAAGCGATTTTAATCTCTTAGTTTAAGGGAAGACAGGGAGTGTACACACCGACACCATTGTGATTGATTCTGAGTCATGTCACCAAGAGTTTCCAACCATTGGTTACGATAGTCACGCGGACCCCAACCAAGTAGTCTGCATCTACCAACATGGCTCAGACCTGAAGTTAGTGTCTTCAAGCACTGATGCCACGTTTTGGTTTGGCCGCCCCTAACTTTCTTCCAACCATTTCCAATACCGGATAGCATTGCACGTCGCGGTAATCGGTGTTCAGGCATACGTAACACGTGGCCCAACCATCTCAGTCGATGAAGATTCATAACCTCATCAACTGATTTACCATCATTCCATAATACCCTGCGTCTAACCTCGCTATTACTTACCCGGTGATCCCAACAGACGCCAGCAATATTTCTAAGGCATCTGTGGTCAAATACTAATAGCTTACGAGTGTCTTCTACTCTTAATGGCCATGTTTCGCTGCCGTAAATTAAAACAGAACGGACTGCCGCGCAGTATACTCGTCCTTTTATTGATAGACGGATATCTCGCCTTCGCCATAGGTGACGCAAGTTGGCAAAAGCCAATCGAGCTTTTCGAATCCGTGCTGAGATTTCGTCCGATACCAGCCCATTAGGGCTGATCAGACTTCCAAGATAAGTGAAGTTGTCAACGCGTTCGACTACTTCACTCCCTATTCTTAGTTCAGGTGTTAACGCAGACCAGTCCTGAAGCAACAACTTGCATTTAGAGGGAGAGAAGCGCATTCCAAACATCCTGGCATTGTTGCTCAGTGCTACCAGAAGACTCTGCATTTTGTCAGCGTCCTCACCAAACAGGACTATGTCATCTGCGTATTCTAAGTCGATAAGTGAACATCCTGGTAGGAGATCAATACCCGAGAACTCAGTCGACGAGAAAGTTATTTCCATCAGTAGATCTATGATGAAGTTAAACAAAAATGGGGAAAGTGGGCAGCCTTGACGGACACCACTTGAGGTTGCAAAAGTAGATGACAGTTCGCCATAAGCTCTGACTCGACTAGTAGTGTTCGAGTAAAGAGCCTTTACAAGGTTTATGTACTTCTGGGGTACGCCGTTCAATGACAGACACTGCCACAGAATCTCGCGGTCTACAGAGTCAAATGCTGCTTTTAAGTCGAGAAAGACCACCATTGTCGGACGCCGATAAGTATGCCTGTGTTCTAGAATCTGACGAATGGTGAAGATATGGTCGATGCAGCCACGACCAGGTCTAAAGCCAGCTTGGTTCTCTCGTGTTTGCAGTTCACGAGTTTTAGTTAGGCGTCTGATAATTATCGAGGCTAGTATTTTAGATATTATATTAGTTGAACTAATCCCTCTGTGGTTGTCACAAGATGATTTTGACCCTTTCTTATATATTGGGACGATAAGTGATTGTGACCAGTTAGATGGAATAACGTCTAACTCCCAGATTTTAGCTAAAATATTAGTCAACCTAATCGCTAAAATTGGACCACCATCCTTAAAGACCTCTGGAGCCAATCCATCTGGACCAGCTGCCCTTCCTCGTTTCAGATTAACAATAGCCTTTTGAACTTCAGCAAGAGTTGGGGGACCTACTTCAATGTTCCATTCACACTGTCTGGGAATGGAGGGTAGTTGTAGAGTAGCTGAAGGCCAGTTGAACTGTTCTCTGAAATGTTCCGCCCATCGTTCTAAACGCCTGGACTGGGAGCAGATGAGTGTATCGTCTTTTTCCGATATAATCTCACTTACACTTGACTTATTAATCCCAGTTTCTTTTATTAGTCTGTAAAGCTGTCTTGTGTTCCCTATAGTCGCCGCCTTTTCCATCTCTTTTGCTTTCATTGCCCACCACTGCTCACGGTCGTTTCTTAGACTTTTTCTTAACGCAGATCTGATTTGTTTACGTTCTTCATCATCTTCAGAACCTGTTGGGACGACTTTGCGAGAATCCATCAATGTGATAGACTTTGAAGAAATCCACTGGTTCTTTGTAACTCTGTGGTTTAAGTCACTAATAGATGTCACTGCTGCTTCCATAGCTGCTTGTATTTCATTCCAAGCAACATCTGGGTCAGCCTCGTCTTCAGAACTACCTAATTGTGAATTCAGTTGTTCTTGGAACTTATTTTTGGTTTTCTCGTTACTCAACTCAGTTCTAATGGGTCTTTTTAATGTGGCTTTTTTGCATCCAGTGAGGCGTAAGCAGATGCGTGCCCCTATTAGGGCATGGTCGGAGTCCAAGCAGGTACTCCAGAATGAGCGACAATCTTGTACCGACCCTCTCCAACGATGACTGATGGCAATATGGTCTATTTGAGTCCATTGTTGGTTTGGTGTAGGGGGCCGCCATGTTAGAAGACGTCTCTCCTTATGCTTAAAATTTGTGTTTGCTAAAAATAAACGATTGTCTGAGCACAGTTGCAGCAGACGATCACCGTTATATGTTTTCTGTGCTGGAATACTAAAATATTCACCTAAATGCCTTCCTGTTTGGTTTAAACTACCTATCTGGTCATTAAAGTCACCCCCTACGAGTACTATGTCTGAACGTTTAGCTTCCTGAAGAAGTTCGGGCAGCTTTCTGTAAAATTCATCTTTCACTTCATCTAAGCTGCAGTCAGTGGGAGCGTAGGCAGAAACGACGAAAAGGCAACGACGTGTGTCCCTATCCTTCCGAGTTTTTACGGAGCCGTTTAGCCGAACAGCACATAGACGACTGTTGACGGGGGTCCACTCTAGCAGTGCTTGTTCCGCCCTCATGCTTAGTGCTATGCCTACACCTGCCAGTCCACGAGAACTGACCATCGGGTCACCAGATACACGTAGGGTGTATCTCGTTGGCTCTCCGTTTTGCCGAGGTGAGGTCAAGTGAATGACCACACTGGAATCCTGTATGCGTGTTTCGGAGACACAGCATACATCAATGGAAAGAGACTCTAGGGTTTTAGCCAAGGAAGCCTGCTGACCGATTTGACATAGAGTGCGTACGTTGAAAGCTCCAATGTGTAGTTTGGAGCGAGGTTTCAGTAGACCTGGGACAGAGTTTTGAGCACTAGAATCGTTGGCTATGGTGAAACTTGAGGAGGAAGCCGAAGGAGGAAGTTTAGGGTTGAAAGTCGATGTAGGAGGAATAATAGGAATTGAAGAGTGAGGTTGATTATGAATACAGTGGTCTTGGGTGCTGTTAGAGGTATGAGGGCGGTTATCACTTCCCTGTTGCCCACACTTTTTAATTTGTTCTCAAATTATATGACAAGCTTGGAAACTGTATCCTTTTTCATCAGATGAAAGTGAGATGTAGGCACTAATGAGTATTAACATCCAAGATATGGAAAACATACTTCGAAGGACGCATTTATTTGAAAATGAGTTGATAGAAGACTAAACTAATGCTATAGCTTTTCACCCTAAATTTTGCTTTGATAGTCATTGTTGCAGTGAAAAAAGCCTTTATAAGATTTAGCCCCCCTTATCTCCCCACAACTTGGAAGGTTGGGAGAAAAATGACGACTAAAAGAAGAATTCTATTGTAGTATGAGCAGATAAACAATATAACATTTATTCTTGATTAACTGAAAAAGGACAAGCAAACTCGGGATTCCGACATCAATAAGCCAAACAAAAGCGTACAAATGCATGAGTGAAAACTTGTTAGTTGGTATAGAAAATGAAGTCCTATCCCTATAATAAAAGACTGTACTTATGACTTAAGTAACTTCAATTTAATGAATCAGATGGCATACTGTTTATATACAATAAGCAATTTGAAACCTAGTCAGTCAGTTAGTAACAACATAGAACTTCGCACGTACGTACATCAGTTCGAGTTTCCATACCACATTAGCACAGAGATGCAGTTGTCGATTCAAATCCTATAGTTGTGGAGGTAGTACGAGTATAAGCAGTCATCGGAAACATTAGGGTTTGAAGATGTTATTCAAGGAGTATAATCCGGTGAAATCAATTTAGAAAGGGAAGAAAGGGACATGAAGAATTCAGATTAGAATTTGGGAGAACATAAAGAGCGAATGCACCTGCGTCATTGCAAATGATTTTGAGCCATGTCATTCAAGGTCTCTAACCATCGGTTGCTAACATTTCGCGGATCCCAATCAGGTAGTCTACACCTACC